CCAGAAGTGGACAAAATAATTGTCTTAAAAGAGGGATCCGTTTGTGATTTCGGATCATTTGATGAACTGATGGCCAAAAGTGGAGAATTCGCTGAATTTGTTGCCGAATATGTCGTTAAACAGGAATACGAAGACATCGATGAGAAAGAGATGCAAATTCTGGCAAAACTGAAACAAACAGTGAAACCATTGATTGAAAGACAAGAATCGCATAAAACTGAGGCCAACACTGAAAACAGTGTCCATCGACTGAGGAGTCAGATGTCTATTAACGAAACCAATAATAACACAACAGAAAAGTCGAGAACTGTTCATAAGCTACAAGAATGTAATGGTAAACTGACCCAGATGGAAAAACCAGTCTCATCCACCACTAAACTGGATTTGATAACAAAATACATTCAACTGTTTGGCCGCCGATCGTTATTCACTATAATATTTGCATACATTGTGTCCACGATATCCACTATGGCATCGGGTCTGTGGCTCAGCCAATGGTCAACCGATGTCATCGATGGCACAGATATTAACGATAACAACGAGTGGCGTAATGTTAGACTCGGAGTGTTTGTGGTGTTTAGCGTAATTCAAATGCTGGCCATTCCTGGCGCTCAGGGGGCCATCAGTCTGGGCTGTGTTTCCGCAGCCAAACAATTGCATAGTCTTATGATTGAGCGTATGATGAGAGCGACCATCAGTTACTTCGGTATTGTGTTGTATTGTTTGGAGAGAGAGAGAGAGAGAGAGAGAGAGAGAGAGAGAGACTAAATTTTTTACATGTTCTCACAGACACGACACCAATGGGTCGGACACTCAATCTCTTCGCCGAAGACATGGATGTCTTGGACAGCGCTATTGGTTTTGTTATTAGAGTATCCTTTTTAAAGTTTTTTGCATTAATTGCATCGTTGGTTATGATATCACTGGAAACACCACTAATACTGCTGGCAATCCTACCAATAATAGTGGTATACATGTTGTGTCAGCGGCTATCCATGACAAGTATACGGCAGATCACACACCTGGACACCAGCGCTCGTTCCCATACGATAAGCTATATCGCCGAGAGCTACAACGGGACGGCAGTTATCCGTGCCTTCGGTGCCGACCGTGACTTCGGCCGTGAGTCTCACCGCCGTCTGGACGCACACAATAGGTGTCAATACTCTCTACTCGTGGCCAAGTGTTGGCTCGCCGTACGGCTCGAGTCCTTGGGCTATAGTATAGTGTTATTGTCGGCGGTGTTTGCCGTGGCGTTCAGGCATACAGTGGGCGCCGGTGTGGCCGCTCTGGCTATCACTTATGCTTTGAATATAACTGACGTAATCACACAATTAGTTATAAATGTAACCATAACCGAGAGCTCACTCATGGCTGTCGAGCGGTGTCTGGCGTTTAGAGAATTACCGATTGAAGTATTATTTATATATTTTAAATATTGATATATTTATGTAAATTCATTGTTTAAATTGTTTTTTATGTCATAATTTAAAGGCCGAGTGGTATAACGAGAGGACTAAACCCGCGGACAACTGGCCGACAATGGGTTGCATTCAATTCACAGACTATTGCACTAAATATAGATTTGGTTTGGATTTAGTGCTCAAAGATATAGCAATTGATATGAAAGGCCGACAAAGGGTTG